TTTTTTTTTTTTTTTCTTATTTATTTTTCGATCTCTCGGTCGCTTAAGAGGCCTCGTTTATTGGAACTGGTTTGGCGTTCGGATCCTTCAAATCCAACGTGTAGCCGTGCACCTTCGTGGAGTTCGTAGTGGGATCGTAAATTCTCTCAACGTGTCGAAGGGTATCGCCCACGATTTTGTCCGTGCTCTCGCGAACGTACGGTTTTCCGTCCGAGGTGCGACCAGACTGTACGATCCTCGTCCCATCGTTAGTTTGTATCACACTGCTGCCGCCTCCAACTGTGTACACCGAAGCAGGAACATTCGCTAGAAATTCAAATTTCGTTAGATAATCGAAGACCAAGCAAGGAGACGACACGATAAGCAATTAGGAATGAAAATATAATCATTTGTGAGTCACTTTCCATTAAAAATAATTTTTTCTTTCGTTCTTGAAACCTACAGTCAAGGGAACTTTTATTTAGTTGTAGGACACTCTATGAGATCATCTCAAATTCTCTCATCAACTGAAGATTTTTGACAATAACAGGATATTTGCATAAGTTGCACTAATTGGCTTCTAAGTTAGGCTCTTAAGAAATTAGATATCAGATAGGACTAAAATTATGAGAGTCTACAAAGATGAATGTTTCACGTTTACTACATTCGTATTTTGATTTTTGAACATTTCGAGGTGATATATTTTTAATCTTTAATATGTAAGACGTATCATCTGTTTTTAGGGTCGGATTTACATCTTTATCAATTTAAGAGATTTGTTTTCTTTTCTTTTTCTTTTTTTGCAATTATCTTGTTAACCGATTAACATTAACATGAAGAAAATCTGCAAGTATAAACTCGACACGTATCTCTCAATTGGGAAATATCGAAAATCAAAGTGATCGCACCACACGCGATGCAAATACCGCGATTGGAAGGAAAAAAAAACTTTCAATCGCCTTGAAAAGCGAAGAGAGAACGGATCTCGATGGTGAAAGGAACGTTTACGTTAACGTTTAGATATAATTGCTGTAATTTCCCGACACTGGGTTGAAGAAACAATCGAGGAAAAAAGGTCGAATAATCGGCTTATCGTGTAAAGTAGAACTCTTTTTTTATCTGAATCTATCCATAAGCACCTAGTTCATGTGGACATTCATACAATAAGGAATACCGTTAGTTAAATTTGTATATTCATAGAATTCGTATAATATTATTAGCCACGATTGTCCATGTAATAGTTCACTTCGGAGCAGAAATAATAGTTCTCATCGGAGAATTATTCATACCGGTTACGTAGTCGCATTAGTCATACTTCTAACGAATAAACTACGTTTTATGCACACGTGCCGAATTATAAATAATTTTATATATACAATGAATCTTCAAAAGCTATTCGTACATCATTATACTTATTACAGCGTTTACATATGTGATAGTTGATTAATACCAATTATTTTAAATATCATCCATTTAGTATACTTTCGTATAATTAAAACAATTTCTAGTATTATGAAAGCAAAGTGCTGAATCTGACGAAGGAACGCTTCGTTGAAAAATATTTACTGAAATATTTACTGATACATTTCGCGGTGCCGTGTAACTCTAGTTATGTAAATATTCTTATCTCGACGAACAGAGGTTACTTTGTTCATACATTCGTTCAAAATATTCGTTTTGACAAGTGTCGTTAAATATGTCAATAAATTTATTTAAATACGTGGCTCGAAAGGAAATTTCAAAACGT